TTTGTAATTTCGCTTATAGAGAAGATGTAGAATACATACATTTAGCAGTTATAGTTTATCAGGCCGTGTGAGGGGGGTACAAATAAATCAAAATTTTCATTTTCTCTCACCCCTACACCTCCTCAGACGGTCTGGCAAACTATAAGTGCTACATATACGTACTCTACATCTTCGATTTTCTTTATAAACGAGGTTTTATCGTGTTACAATGAATGTTCAAAAGATTGTGATGAAATGAAATTACTTCTACACACCCTCAGACGGGCTGTAGGGCTGTAACTTACATATACCTACAGGGAGTCCCAAGAAAGTGGATTTCTTCAATAACTGCTTTCTAGCTGAAGATATCAAAAAAAGTTTCTTATAAAAGTGGTACCATATAAGTATCTTCATATGCTAAAATTATTTTCGATTATACAAAATGTCGCATTTTTCCTGCAGGCAACCTAACTTCATTTATTCAAGTAGAATGCCCCATTTATTATTGCATTTTTGAATTTCTCGTTAAATTTAAATATCACTTTGTTAACTATATATTATGTCTAAAATGCACCAATTTCCATAAAATTCATACTAAATCAATGAATAGGCGGTTGCACTGCTCTGCGCCATCTTGAATATCTCCGAAACGAAAGCAACAGAGATGTGTTATTTTCACACATAGCTTGTAGAAGAAATGGCCTACTATTGCCACTATTAACGCACACATGTTCTTTTCAAATTCATTGAAATCTATCACTTCCAAAATACATTGTTTCAAACTGGCATAACTATTTTTTTAATGGACTGCTATATTTTTTATCGGCTCATCATGTGCAGAATTTTATTTCCTGTCTTCCAATATAAGGAAGTTACTATCTACGACTAAAACTTTTTTAACATCCCTATATTATACGAAGATTAGCTCAGGTAGGAAAGGGTGGAGGTGCATGTCCAACTTAATACTAAGGACCATATTATGATGATGAATTGTTAAATTAAGAAATCTTGCCTCAACATCTCAGGCGACTATAACGAAATTCAGAATCAGTGTATTTTTTTTACTATTTTACCAAAAATAAAGTTACGTCGTAACAGAAAAATGAGATCATCTTACTTCTTTGACTGAGCTACGAATGGTAGGTATACTTCGTTTACTTTCTCTAGCGACAGAAAGTAAACGAAGTATACGTGCTGGATTAAAATATTTCTACATTCAATTTAGATGTACTTATGTTATACTACTGATTTGAAAACAAAGTTATGTATACAATGCAACAATAGTGTTTTCAGTCATGAAATAGTAACTCTTTGTTTTCGTTCGCCTTCAAATAATAATTTAATGCCGGCAGAATGAGCTCCACAAAGACTGAAAATCAAAACTGTTTTAATTGCCATGCCTAAAGTTTCTCATAACTTACCATGTCTTTAAAATTCGCAGCAGCTTAGTAATCAGAATTTTAATTTTATTCTAAAGTTTGTAAACGCGACTGAAACGAGCATTATTATTAATTAATTTGCTTGACGGCTGTAATATCGTCGCTTCGAACGCTTCAAACTAACGATAAGCTCCAAATTCACAGTTAAGAAAACTTTAGAAATCTCGCATTGGCGTAATGTTCAAACAGAAGCTTATTAAGAAATACCGGCTTCTATGAACATGAGCGCATTCAGGATTTTTCTTCGAGAAGCGGGTATAAGACAGCCATCTCTCAAAAACGAATTTGTAAACAAAATTACGATTTTCAGAATTAGTCGCATGTGAAGGGTAATAATGCTTCAACATTTTTTAACATCTACTTTTATTCTAATCAATATCCAGCAGTACCCGGCAAAGCCCTAGCCCTCCTCCCCCGAAAGGATTTGCCCCCTCCCTAATATCTGCTCGGTTAGCTTATTCAACTTGTGTTATGAATTAGGAAATATGCTTTAAATAGACTTCCTTCATAATTTGCATTCTTGTATACGGGCTGTAATAAGATTACAAGAAGGAATAGGGACCATAAAACTAATATCGGCCCTTAGTTCGGTGTTTACTGAACTCTCGCAGGTAGCACACATTCCCTAGACAAAAATTTTCAGTCTCTCTCCAGTCTCTCAGTCTTTCAGCGTCTCTGAGAGCGTCTCTCACAGTCTTTCACAGTCTCTCAGTTATTGCCTAGGTGTTTCTATGGATCTCTCACAGTCTCCGTATGAGAGACTCGAATGATAAAATTGTTAATTCAGAGATTCCAGTCTCTCACAGAGAGACTGAATAAATGAAACTGAAAAATTGAGAGACTCGAGTCTCTCGTAGAAAGACTGGGACCTCTGAAATATGTTGAACTTAGAAAATTTTGACCATGTCATCGAGACATCACTTATTGAGAGATTCAAGTCTCTCGTTCAGAAATTCGAGTCTCTGGTTCAAAGACTGGATACGAAATAAGGATCCGTGTATGAGCCACTCGAGTCTCTCGTTCAGAGATGCTAAACAGTTTTTTGACAGTCTCTCGACAGTCTGACAGTCTCTCTCAACGACACCAGAGAGACTCGATGAGAAACGGAGACTCGAGTCTCGCTTTCAGAGACTAAACATTTTTATCTCGGGTTACCCTTACAGTATCATCAAGAAATCGAACTTCTGTTCAATATTTCGGGTGAAATACCCCAAAGTAAGGCAGTTACTATAAGCGCTTTGTAAAAACGGGATAAAGAGGAAAGAAATACTTGAACATTGTAGACATATAAACATTATTAATAGAATCAGAGACTCCCTAATTTCTATAAAGCAACAGGAAAATGTACTTTATTCTAAACTTAATAAACGAATGCTCCAACAAGGTCCATTTAAATATATGTTTCAACAGTTAGATATCGATATATTTAAATGGACCTTGTTGGAGCATACGTAATCCTAAAAGGTAGCATTGTACTACAGGTGGCGTTTACCGTGCCATTTGTGGTATTTTCTGCTTCTTATGATGTTAGAAATATTATTTGATATATACTCTTCTATGTAAGGCATCATGAAGTTATAGCTGTTTGGGAAGGTTTTCGTCTTTGTTAGCTAACATTTACAGCAAGCTTTTAGGTGGTGTCAAACGAAAAAAAATTTAATTTACTTAAAATAGTTAAAAATTCGACATTAAAAATGAGAGACTTGATGCTCCAACGATGATATAAAGCGAAAAAGACATTTCCAGTACTCTTGACCTAATGAATATGGCGAATTTATCGACGAAACTTAAACACAGGCGAATTCAATATTAATCTATTGTATTTAGGTACTTCTTTTATTAATATCAATACTTTAAGAAAGTTTTTCGGGTTCGATTCCCAGGGAGGCAGTGACAACGCAACGAACAGTTTTACCTCATTAACTTGAGGTAATTCGCAACATAGGTATACAATTATATATACGTATAAAGTTTAATACAAGCGGTACATACCTAACTTGACCGAAAGTGAATAATTAATATAATAGCCGATTATAGGTCCAAACACTACACTACAAACTGCAAGTACATAGTACCTATACACATACGAACATATGCATGTTGATACTTGGACAATGTTAAAGCCATTATCGGGTAAGGCAATAAACGATGGAATTTCCCGTTATTTATAGATACATATACAGACCTCCGCAATAAATGATAGCATAGGTATACTTCATTTACTTTCTCTAGCGAAGTGCCCCTTCCAATGTCTTGGATGCGCGCTGGCAAAATCATAGGTAGGGAGAAAAAAGCTCATTATACTGTCGACCCTTGTTCATTAAACATACTTTTTCATACAGTACCTGCCAAAAGTTTTGTTCAATTATGAATAGTAGTGCGAGTAGAAAACAAGCCTAAGCGAAAGCCTTTAATATATCTTCAAATATAAATAAACATCTCGTTGATATTTTCAGTAGTTAATGGTACCAATAACAGCACATTTGAGCAATACAATTGTAGTGGATAAACTGTACGAATTATACGCTCCTGACCAGTTAAAAGTTTGGCCGAGAGTTGTCTCCTTCCTTTTCTGGCCTAGTGCTGTTCTTTTCTACTTTGCGCCGGTCAAACTGAAGGTCACATCGCTAC